GCCCAACAGCCCCTTCTGCACAGAAATCCTTCCTCAGAGCCAGCCTGACCCTGCCCTGGGCAGCTTGAGGCCATTCCCTCGGGGCCTGGCGCTGGGGCCTTGGCTCCAGAGACTCATCCCCCCTCTCTGCCCCCTCCTGGCAGGGAGTTGCCGAGGGCCAGGAGGTCTCCCCTCAGCCTCCTCTTCTCCAGACTGAACCCCCCCAGTTCCCCCAGCCGCTCCCCAGCAGACCTGTGCTCCAGACCCTGCCCCAGCTCCGTTGCCCTTCTCTGGCCACGCTCGAGTCATTCAATGGCCTTTTTGGGGTGAGTGGCCCAAAATTGAACCCACTCAGCGAGGGGCGGCCTCCCCAGTGCCGAGCCCAGGGCTCAGATCCCTTCCCTGTCCCTGCTGGCCACGCCAGTGCCGACACAAGCCAGGATGCCATTTGCCCTCTTGGCCACGTCACCACGGAGCAGGCAGGAAGCAGGGCTGGGTACAGCACACAGGAGTGAAGGGACGCTGGTGGTGCTTGGTGGGTTGCAGAGGGAAAGATGCAGAGGTGAAGCAAAAGGAACGGAGCAAATCTCCTCCGCTTGTGCTCTTTCGCATGAGACCCCCTGATCTCTCTCCCCTGCCCACACCTGGGGACAGCACACTCCCTGTTACCTTGTCAGCTGGCGTTAGCTTTGTCCACGGCTTATCCGCTCGCCGGTCATAGTCTTGAGCATCTGTTACCTCCACATATTCGTTAAACCTCAGGATCTTCCTGGCCTGCAGCTCTGCCACTGTGGGCCTTTGGCTAAGCTGAACAGCAGCAAGAGCAAAGAAACTTAAGTTTATGTCTTGTCCACAAAGCAGTTCAGAACTAAGCAAAACTAAACCCAGTTCCCTCACTGGGCCCGAACCACAGATACTACGAGGTCCTGCTCGCAGCCTGCAAGGGACTAGGCAAACCCTCTTACAGATGCTTTGGATCACAAGGACGGGCTAGGGCAGAACCAAGGCCACACTGCCAGAGAAGGAAGACCCTGAGGCATTTGGGTGAGCCCTGTGTGACACCCCTGACCCCAGCAAGCCCATTCCCCGCTTCAGCAATGGCCACAATCACATTTCACACACACAGGTCCTTGGGAAGTTTCTCTCAGCCACAAGTAACTTGAATGTAATAGGTAAAAGCAGCTGTTGCTCTGCTCAGCTTCTCCCACGCTGCTGTTACTTTAGAAATGGATTTTGGGGAGCCTGGTGTGAAAGTTGTGGCCACTGAAGGACTTTTAAAACAGCCAGGCCAGTGCCAGCAAATCTTTCAAGTGCCAGGTGCCAAATTTAGTTCTCATCTAGCTTGTTACGCTTGATGCCAGCTCAGATCTATCCCCGACAAAGGGCCGCAGTGCCAACGGCTCACCGTTGGTGACAGTCCACGTTCCAAAGTCACTGCAGTCAGAGGGCACTGGGGACACTTACACAATAGCCCCGTGACTTCACCCACAGCAAGGTACCTACGATGTGCTCATAGCCACCACCATCCCCGACAGCTCTGCCAGATGGCCATCACAGCACGGAGGCCAGCAGTACCTTTCTGGTGAGCCTGCGTTTGATCTCTCGCTTCTCAGCTTGACGGTCAGCTTCATTTTTTGCTGCCAAGAGAAAAAAAAAAATAATTCCTGTAAGCATCACAGCCTTTGAAAAGTGCTTTCTGGACTCGAACAAAGGAGAGTATCGAGCTATTCTCAGATTATCTACATATCTGAGAGCTCATTGTGGTACAGGCAGAGAGCACAGTCCGACTCAATACCCTTAACTCGCCAAGCACCCCCTGACAGTGGCAATATGGGCCTTTACACAACACGACTGAGTCATTCTCTCCAGCCCTGTGTCTGTTAAAGATTAATGGCCATATTGTCAAAATACATCCAGGGCACTTTGCAGATTGCTTCTCCCCAAAGCTATTATACTAATAGTTTAAAGAGAATAACAGAACAGATAAATATTTTAAATGGAAACTTCCTGAACTGACATTTCCCCTTCCTCAAGATGTTTATTTAAAACTTTTGCAGAGCAAGG